TGAATTTTGGATGAATTTAATCAATTTTTTTTAATAATTGAATTCTTTTGTGAAATTTTATGAAAATGCTGGATATTGAAAATAATTGAATTTCGAATATTTTTTGAAAACAATTGAATCGTTTTAAAGAATTTGGTTACAATTTTTGAGAATAGTTTTTCGATTTTTAGTATTAGCGAATTTAAAGGAATGGGAATTGTAATGAAATAAAAATAGTAGCTTTTAGTAGCTGAAATCTTAAAAAAGTACCCAAATAGTAGTAAATAGTAGTTTTTAGTAGATAAATGCGAAGGCTAATTAAAACTTTTTAGTTGTTTTGCTAGTCACCTTTGTGACAGTTTTAAACGATAGTAGTAACTGCTGATAGTGACTATAAAAATTATGATTATGACTAGTAGTTATTACAAAAAACTTGGTTTCATTTTTGTTGCAGCTCAAAATGAGTTAATGTTAAATGCCATCAAAAATGGCGCACCTTTTTTTTTGAAGGAAATTCAATGTAACGGAAATGAAAATTTAAACTTGATTTCCGAACGATATAGATTTCTTTCTTTTTGCCTTTAAAATTCAAGTCCTGACTCTCATCTCATTCGTGTGGAATGACCCAGTCGCGGTATTTGCTTAATACACTATATTTATATATTTTATTTCTTTCCTTTTTTGCCCTGATTTTCAAAGATTTTCCAGTCCTCACGTTCCATTTTGGTATATCCACGTGTGCGATTGAGCGTCTCTTTCGGTGTGTTTTTTCTTCCCTCCCCCCCATATCAAGAGGAATTCTATCTGAAGGCAGGTCGAACTTGTTCTATTTTCTTCTATCCGTTGATTTATCGTCCATCCTCAAGCTAAACATCTTTCATACCCCTTCCTCCTGGTAGTATTCTTGTTCAACTCAGGTGATCGATACGACCTTTCTGCTACGTGTGTACGCGCCTAAAACACACCATAAGGCCTTCCCCTCTATATAGTTCAAAGTGTATACATATATATATTGTCGAAATTCTCCATTTTTCCTCAACCATATTTTCTTGTTTCACGCTTCGACTGTATCGAAAACAGAGATTCATATATCTTCCCCCCTAAAGATACTTTTCATGTTGTTAAAGCTGGTGGGACAAAATTATTTTTTTAGATTTATTTTGTTTTCCTTTTGTGCGGTGGAATTATTCGGGTGGAGAGAATACACGTAAATATTATTCATATATTTAGGTTTGCGTGTTTTCTATCTATAACAACTATCGCCGCGTCGCGTCGCGTCGTCGAAAGCTTTTTCAATTTTAGTCTGATGGTAAATATTGTTGGAAATAAAAATTCAATATTGTTATCCAACTACCGTCAATTATTGTAATAAACAATATTTAATTTCAGGAAAATGTTTGGAAATCAGGGGAAAGGCAGGGAAAAAAATTAAATTTTTGTGGCAACCCTGAATAATTTAAATACAACATAATATGAATTGACTATCAAGAAATGATACTGATAATGATCTACAGTAGTTTTAATTGATAGTAGTGATTATTGACAGTCGTAATCGATGGTTACAGTTGTTGTAGTAACTAGTAGTTTATGATTACAACTAAGGATACAAACTACCTATGGTTGCTGGAATTCTTAGTAATTTATGGTATTTAAATTTATTAATCAATATTAATTATGGTATTAATTTAGTGTACTAATTTATGGTTTGGTCAGAATAATTTTTCAAGCATTGCGAACAAAACCTTATATTGTTGTACATACGTTAAAAACATCCCGCATTAATTTCAACAAAAAAATGAAACACCACCTCTGACCTAAATCACATTAAAGTCTCATACAATAAACCTAATTCTCTAACAATGCTGAAAGTCCAACTAAAGTTCGTAAACTACTGGGGCCTTGATTGTTTGTAAATTATCACAAAGGCTGTGGCATTCTCAGTTTAAGCCCCACTGCATCCAGGTCGAATTTGTTGGCAGTAGATCCTCAAAGACAAGAAGTCTAAGTGAAGGGTGAGAGGGGGGGGGGGGGGGGCGAGATGCTTGAAATAAATACCTCATCATGAAATATTCATCTCACGTTTTCCTTAAAATACCTCTTTTTCCCTACCACAGCCGTTCACCCTTCTTCAAACCAATAGATCTCTATTGTTTTATCACCACATTTTTATTCAAGATTAAACAACTCTCTACTTTGTGTATTATGTGGTTGTTGCCCAAATCGGGACAAAATATGGCATATTTAATATATTTAGGTGTTTGTAGTCATTAAAAAGGTTATTTTCTATACCGTACAGAATTTACACAAATGAAAAAAAAACTTCGTTTTACACGTCCGTACATGATTTTGATAAAATTATTCAGAACGAATTTTTAAATATATGTAAACATGATTTTGATAAAAATTTTCAGAACGAATTTTTAAATATGTAAACAAATTCAAATTATAATTATGAAAAGAAATTTTTGTTTCCCAAATGAAATGAAAAAGTATATTTACAAGTGAAAAGTTTCTTTCTAGAAATATTAGTGAATGCAATTTTAAAAATATGAAGCAGATATAAAAGCCGTACAGCGTACATTCTACTATACTGCATTCTTCCTTTTTTCATCAAACAAGTACATTTTCTATATTTAAAAATCCCCTTTTCTCGATTCAACAAACTCAGAATCAGAATATAAAAACCGTGCTCTTTTAATTCTATTTTTTTTTTTTTTTTTTGGCAAAGCAAGCAATAACAGGCATATACACGGTGTCATTTTTCCAATTTTTCCAATGACCTCAATTTTCCAAGATAAATAAAAGAATGGTTCGAATAAAGGAAGTCTTGGAGTACCTTTCTTTTCCACTCAGTCTGAGACTGATTGGATTCAGGTCGTTCTTTCCGTTTTTGGAAAGGAAAGAAATCTCTAAAAATTGTAAGAGGAAAAGGATTCATCGTTGAAAGTAGAACACTCCGTTTACAGATATCTTAAATTTTCCTCTCCTTCATTTTTTTTTCAATTTTTCCATGACAGATGAAACAAAAAAAAGAAAAAAAAATTGAAGGAAAGGAAAGGAAAGAAGAAAATGAAAGGAGAAAAATTTAGTCGACTTTTCAAATATGTCATGTTCAAGTTGAAAAAAGTCGATCGAATTAAATTGTCTGCAACTCTTGACTTCGTTTATTCCGTATTCATGAAATTTGAGACGAAAATAATTATGTAAATTGATAAAATTTTATTTATTTGCACTTACCGTCAATTATACATTTTATACCACAATTTATTGAAGTGGAAAATGATTTGAAATTTCATGGATTAAGAGTGCGATTGAGGAAAATTACTATCGAAAAATTTGGTTGATTTATAACGAAGTTACGTTGACCTTAGTTAGCACTTACCGTCCTCGGTAAGTTCCGATTAATAAAACTTATTCAAATTCTAATTACAAGCATAGTAATTCATAAGATTTATTTTCTCTGATTGTCTTCACTCATTAGATATTTTTACTGGATCTTACCGTCGTTAGATTTTCATTGACACTTACCGTCAATAACAGTATTGTATATAAAAAATTATAATATTTAAAAACTACCAATAAATAAAATACTTACTGTCAACTTAAACACTTACCGAACATATATTTTAAACGAACAATAAATATATCACTTACCGTCAATTGAAATAACTTATTCAACTGGCACTCGACGGTAAATTGTACAAGTTTATAGTAATTCATAAAATTTAGTTTTTCTAATTGTATTTACTTATTTTTTTTACCGGAACTTACCGTCGATAATATTATTATAATAGTATATAAAACACTTACGGTCAACTGAAACACTTACCGAAAATATATTTAAAACAAACATAAAATGAAAGCAAATAAAAAAAAAATTTTTAATCTCACTAATACGAATAACACTTACCGTCGGTAATGGTAAATATGTTTAAAACTACAATTAGGTGAAATCAATAAAGCACTTACCGTCAAGTGAATGATTTATCTTAGAAATGTTTTAAATCAACAGTAAATGAAATTTTAGCGTCAACTGAGGAAAATATAGTTTGAATTGTCAATTAAGAGGAAAATCGAATAAAATACTTACCGTCAATGTTAATAATAGTTCGAAATTGTCGATAAAAAGAAGCACTTACCGTCAACTGTGAGAAATATAGTTGAAACTGTTAACGAATTTTCATAAAATACTTACCGTTAATGATAGTAAATAGTTCGAAATTGACAATAAATGAAGCACTTACCGTCAACTGTGAAAAATATATTTGGAAATATTAATAAATAAATTAAATAAAATACTTACCGTCACTGTTAGTAAATAATTTGACATTGAATATAACAAAACACTTACCGTCGACTATGGTACCAATGATAAAATAAAGTGCTCACCGTCAGTGTTAGTAAATACTTTAAAATTGACAGAAAATGAAATACTTACCGTCAACTTCAGCAAATATTGTTAAAACTATTAAGAAATAAATAAAATACTTACCGTCAGTGATAGTAAATAATTCGAAATTAACAATTAATAAAACACTTATCCTTAACTATGGTAAACAGATCAATAAATAAATAAGAAATAATAAACGAATAAATATTGAATGTTATTGAATAATAAACGTAGTTTAAACGGTACTTTTTATTGACGGTAAGTGTTACTTCTCCGTAATGAAAATTGAATAATTTAGATTTTAGAATTTACTCCAACAGAATTTGATTAAAACAAAAATTTATTAATTTTACAGACAATTTTTTTTGTTCGATATTGAAAAGTTTTTCTCTTTTCTTTTCTAACTCAATCGACAATTTTAGTATTATTTTTCACTCAAAGCTTTTGCTGGGTGAATTTCAAAGAGGTACAAGTTTACGCCTTTGTGTGAAACTTTCATTCTTTGTTCGATTTCTTTACCTTGTTTTTTTTTCGTTTTATTCAAGAATCATGTTACACTCTCGGTGTTTTTCAGAAAATTTTTTTTTCTCTTTTTACTATTATTATTTTCTTTTTGTTTTTTACGTTTCAGAAACGGAAGTGAGGTCACCACGCTTCACGGGATCGGGTTGGCTCGCCTTTCCTGCTTTAAGAGCAGCCTACAAGCATGTTCAGTTGGAGCTCGAGTTTCGACCAGAAGCTTGGGACGGTGTTCTTCTACTGGCCGGTGAACGAGATGATCTCCAGGGTGACTTTATGGCCCTGATACTTCATCATGGCTTCATCGAGTTCAGGTATATCACACACCAACTTTCTTCCCACAATTCTCTGTTTCATTCTTTTTTCGCAAAAAAAAAAACAATAAAGGCCACAATCTTTTACTGAACATAAAAAATAAAATATGTCTGGTTATTTTATTTTATGTGCTTTTTCTCTCTTTTTTGAGAGAGAATAATATTTTTCGAATAGCACAACGTTTGAGCTCAATACTGTATTAATATTGACACTATTGCCCGGTTTATTTAAAAAGTGGGTATTTTTTAAAATCCTAACGTTTTAGACAATTTTAGAACCCGGGATTGTGTTCAGCGGGCAAAAGTTCATTGAAAACCATTCCAATATCGAAAATAAGCAAAAAAAAAATTTTTTTCGGGTATTTACCCCCACTTTTTTCAAAATCCTAACGTTTTACATAATTTTGGGATCCGGGATCGTGTTCAGCAGCCAAAAATACATTGAAAACCACTCCCATATCGAAAAAAAAACAGAAAAATTGTTTTCTTGGTTCTTTACCCCCACTTTTTTCGAAATTATCTATTTTTTGGTCTTGCGCAAATAGGACTTTAAAGTTCACGTTTCGAGTTTTATTTCAAAACTTCATTTCGCAAATTTGTATAAAATACAACTATAATAACTCTCCACCAGACCAAAAGATGCAAAAGACAAAAAAAAATAGGGAATTTTGAAAAAAGTGGGGGTAAAGAACCCAAAAAAACAATTTTTCACTTATTTTTGACATGAGAGTCGTTTCCAATATATTTTTGTCCGCTGAATACGATTCTTGGTCTAAAAATTATCTAGTACGTCAGGATTTTGAGAAAAGTGAAAATTTTTTCTTTTTTTGAGTATATAAAAAATGTTGTCTTATATTAAGTGTAAGAATGTTTTTTGATGGCCTCCTTGCAATCTATAGGATTATCGATAATCGATAATTAATTTCAGGTGTTGATCTGCTCAAGTGTTACTCTAAGACAGAATAGCTTACTGTGGCAATATTGAATCAGTTAATGCTCTTAAAGATTTCGTATAATCAAGTCTCGCATTCACTAGTATCTTCTGAATCCTTACTCTCAGTTGATGAAATTTTAATCGAATTCTCAAGATAAAAATTACTTAAATAATTGTTCTCTTTAAGACGTTCCATGAGAAAATAATAGGGATCAATACTAATTGCGAATTTATATTCTATAATAATCAATATATTGTAATCTTCTTATTTCTTTATTGTAAGAATGTCGGGTGAAAAGGTGAAGGACCGTGAGGTTAAATAAGATGGGAAATAATATTCGAAAAATAATAATAATAAAATAAAAAAAAATCGAAAATAGAAACAATCTAATAATAAACTAAAAACATAATTAAAAAATAGGTATTCAAAAAATAAAAATAAAATATCAAAAATAAATATAAGTAAGAAAATAAAAAAAAATAAAATAAAAAAAAAATAAAAATATAGTAGAAAATAAAAATAAAATAAATAAATAATAATAAAAGAAAAGTAATCAGAATTCAATTACAAAAAATGTATGAAAGCAAAACATTAATTGAACTGTTGAATTAAATTTTGATTATTACAAAAAAATAAAATACTAAAATGGAATTTAATTGAAATATTGAATTTGTAATTATAATTGACAAATTTTACTTTTAGAATAAACGTTAATTGTCTTTAATTTTTGTTTAATAAGTGGGGTATTATTTTGCAGGTTCGACTGTGGTAGTGGAGTTGGAATTGTTAGAAGCTCTGAGCCTGTTAAACTCAATGAATGGAACACCCTGAGCATTTATAGACATCGATGGGATGCTTGGATTCAACTCAACCGTGAGAAGAGAGTTCAGGGTAGATCAAAGGTAATTTAAATTAAAATTTACCAAAGCATTATCCACCCATATTAATTTCTAATTCAATTTTGCAAAAGAATAGAAGGAATGATAATTAATCATGATTAAATGAATTAAAAGGAGTTTCATTAATTATTTGCAATTTTTTTATTTTAGTATTTAAATTTAAAAATTAATTTCAATTTTATTGGATTCATTTCAAAGGTTAAATTAAAAAATTAATTAGTTTATTAATTTATTATATTTAAATTTTCTTCAATGATATTTAGTTTTTCGTTACTTTGCCCTTTTAAATGATATAAATAAACGTAATTTAAATTTAATTAAATTCAAAATTAAAATTGCAAACGTTTTAAATTTTGAAGAGATAAATAGTAGAAGGAAATTTTTGTAATATTTAGACGTTGTTTTTTATTGGAATCACTTACCGTTACCGTTAACAATGCTTATAATTAAAGGTTCTAGCCTCTAAATTAACGCTAGACATTCTTGGTATTTTTTTTATTTAGGTTTGGTAAAATAACTCGTCTGTAATTTTTATTATCACTTTCCGTCTCACTTATCGTGAATTATTCACGGTAAGTTAGACGATAAGTGCTAACAATAAAAATTGGAAAAATTTTAACTGTTCGCTGTAAATTTTTATTGTTAGCACTTACCGTCTCACTTACCGTGAATTATTCACGGTAAGTGAGACAGTAACAGCGAACAGAACTATATAATATTTTTTTCATTAGTTATTACAATTTGGAAACCTATTGTTAATATTAATAGCACTAGGATTAATATGACTTACTATTAAGAACAATGTCAGCTAACAGCACTTGAAAGTCTGACATTTTTCAAAGTGAACTTACCGTTAGTGTCAACGATTATTTCAACTAATGACATTAGTTAGCTAGGTTCAATATTACATTCATGTTGTTCTTGATATTTTTTATTTTTCAGGGTAGGTAAAATTGTTTGCTAGTAATTTTTATCGTTAGCACTTACCGTGAATTGTTACACTAGATAGCACTTTTGCTCATTAGTAAGTACTTTAAAGTTACTTTAAATATTTTCTATTTGTCATGGTAGGTAATTTATTATCATTTAATTTTTTATTAGCACTTACCGTCTCTTACCGTGAATTGTTACACTAGATAGCACTATCTTTCATTTGTTATCACCTTCTATTTTGAATAATTTCTTTTCGTCTTAATCGGTAATTTATTATTTTATTTATTTGCTTTTAATTTATTATTAGCACTTACCGTCTCAGTTGCAGTCAGTTATTACACTAGATAGCACTTTCTCTCTTTAGTTTCTACTTTCACGTTATTTTTGATATTTTTTTATTTGTCATGATCGGTAAAATAGTCTAGTGGTAAATTTTATTATTAGCACTTACCGTCTCCGTTAATTTCTTATTTAAAAAAATAATCCCCAAATATCAGAAAATAGTTGAAAATTATTAAAAGTACGAGAAATAATTACTGTCTGAAGAATAATTAACTCGCACTTTCTCCCTCGAAGATGAAGAAGAAGAAAAAAGAATTTGAAAAATAATAGGGAATTTTAAGTAGCTTGTAACTATTCGGGATTCCAAGCTTGGTTGAATTTATTTAGACAGAATTCCTATGGACATGGAATAATGGGTAATCGCAGCCTCTGCATAGTTGCACTTGAGAAGAAGGTGGTCGCGTTGAGTGCCGTACAAACTTATTACGAAGCAATTTGCAAGTCTTATGAGAGAAGGCAAGAAAGAGAACCTCGAAGTTGAGATTTAGAAGGGTACCAGAGTTAAAGCTCGTGATGTTAGTGAAGGAGGCTTTGAAAGGCATTTAATTCGGCTCGTTATACTCGCTTGCTTTTTTTGTTAAAAGGCAAAGAAGAAATAAAAAATAAAACGAAAAATTACGGAAAAACAAACACATCACCATAATGACGTTGTTGAAAAACCTCAAAACCTTTTTTTTCCCCTTCTTTTTCATTTGGAAAGACTTATTCTCTCTTTCTCTCTATCTCTTTCACTTTCCTGTATCGACCAGAGAAAGTAGAAACTACCAAAGATTCTTGTATTTCCATAGTGGAAGTGAAGGAATGTTTAAAGAGCTGATTAAAACATTTTAAATCTAAAGCAATTGAGCGAATGGAATCTCTTGAAACGTTTAATATCAAGTAAATTCGAAATTAAAAGATTTGAATATGTTTTTCCAACTGATAAAATTAATTCAATGCTCTTTATTTCAAGATTTTTCGTTTAAAAAAAAAATTATCATTGCAGAAAATTTGTGTAGAAATAAAAAAAATAATAAATAAATAATACGAAGACCAGGTATTTAAAAATATTTTTTTTACCATTATGGAACAAAAAGCCATTAACTTCCAATTTGTACCGTTTGTTTAAAAAAAGAACCTGGAAGAAACGACGGTAAGTGTCATTAACAAAAATATTTTTCTTGAGGACCCAAATTTATAAATAGTTGTATTTTTTACGATTATTAACATTGTCACCTGGTTCAAATAAAAAAAAAAGTAACGGTAATTGTAATCTGCCGTTAAAATTTAACGGTAAGTCAGACGGTAAGTGCTAATAATAAAAATTACCAGCAAACTATTTTACCGCTCATGTCAAATAAAAAATATGAACATTAGTGTTAAAGTAGAAACTAGAGAAAAGGTGCTATCTAGTGTAACAATTATTGACGGTAAGTGAGACGGTAAGTGCTAATGATAAAAATTACTAGCGAACAATTTTACTTACCTTGACAAATTCAAAATATCTAGAATAACGTGAATGTAATATTGAAAGACGCTGACTAATATTAGTTAAAATAATTGTTAACACTAACGGTAACTGCACTTGAAAAATGTAAAATTGTCAAGTGCTGTTAACTGACATTGTTGTTAATAGTAAGTTAGATTAATAGTAAACTATTAATATTAGCAGTATTTTCATAATTATAATAACTAATAGGAAAAACTGTTACGTACAGTAATTAACGGTAAGTGAGACGATAAGTGCATATGAAAATTACTGGCGAGTTATTTTACCAAAAACAAATAAAAAATAACATCAGGGATAACTAGCGTTAATATAGAGATAAATACCTTTAAGTAGAAGCATTGTTAACGGTAACGGTAAGTGCACTTGCAAATGTTAGACTTTCAAGTCACTGATACTGATACTAAGTCATATTATTATTATTCTTAAACTATCAGAAAAAATCATTAGGTGCTACTAATTAAAAAATGAGTCAGTAAATTGATAATTTTACTGTTACCGTAAAAGACGGTAAGTTACAATTATGCAAAATTACATAATTATAAAAAACAAAAAAGTTACCATATTTGGAATTGGAAATTCTCTTTCCTCTTTGAATTTAAAAACTTTTTTCTGCTCCGAATCAGTTTCACTGGAAGAATAATTTACTTATCATTTACAAATGATGTCTTTGAAACTCGAAGATGGAAAACTTTCTTCCGCAAAAAAAACTTTTCGATTCCAATATTTTAAATCTACAGATACTATCACATTTAGGTGGTTGTTGAATTCTTTTTTTAAAATTCAGTTTCAAGTTTCAAACTTTATTAAGTATCTTAAAGATTTCTTATTTATTCCATCAGTATAGTAATCATATTTATTTTTGCAAATATTTCTTTCAAATAATTTCCATTCATTTCAAAATGATAAAAATTGGATTAAATCGCGAGAAAGTGTCAAAATGTTTTCTTTGATACATTTTTAATATGTATGTATTTTACGGAATTTATTCATTTTTTAAAAGGACAAGAATTTATTGATTTAAAGCTAAAGTGGTGTAAAAGCTTTACGAAGGAAATTGGATAGAAAATTAAATATCTATTTTCGCATGAGAATGACTTGTGACGTTAATCAACTTTAAAAGGGGAGTAAATTTTGTCCTTAATCCTTAGATGTTCTGACAACAACCTTATAATTAGCAAACGCCAAACCTACACTCGAAAGTCCTCGTTAAATCTTTTTTTTTCTGCTGTCGTGGCACTTTTTTTTATTCCGTTAAAATCCTCTAAGTCCATCAGCCATTAAATACGTATAGTGAATGCTTGCTTGCATTCAAGTTGCTAACAATGCTGATTCGTTAATGATAACTTCGAAAAAGGCTGTGTTTTTTAATAGTGTTCTATTTATAAATTTCAATTCTATTTTTCATTTATGATTTTAGTTTTCGGTATTTTTTTTTACCTTACTCTACTTTCTTCGACGATTACTATCGTTTTATAAATTTTTTACAATCTGGTATTTTCATTAATATTTGAATATTTTTATTTAATGTGTACAGGATTTTATCGCACTTACCGTTAGCATAATGTTGACGGTAGATTTTACTCGAGATTGTTGGGGTAATATTTGTTCTTTAATGAAACTTACAGTTGACGGTAGTTTACCGTTTACTGTAATTTTCACTTGGCACTTACCGTACACTTGTAAGCTTCCTTTTGTCACTTTGATTTTTCCGCTTCTTACTGACGCTTACCGTAACTCTACCGTTATCAGTAGTTTTAATACATTCAATTCTAAATGTATTTTTTGTTTATTTAAAAGACTTACCGTGACTTTCAGTGTAATTTTCTTTGCTGTCACTTATACCGTTGCAGACGAGAGCTTTCATTGTCTAGTGTTATTAAAACACTTACAGCGACTCAAATATTAATTTCTCTTGTCGACACTTACCGTCTTTGTCCACTTCTGTTAAAAACACTTACCGGCAAACGAAATTAATTTTTGAATCACTGTAAGTGTTTTAATAGAAAGAGACAAGACACTAAGTCTCAGCTAATAAAGAGGACTTTTGAATTAAATGTACTTTAACCCTCCTGAGAAACGGTAAGTGTCGACAAGAGAAATTAATTTTCGAGTCACGGTAAGTGACGTCAAAGGAAAATACATTTTAAATCACGGTAAGTGTTTTAATAAGAACAAGACAGTGACGGTAACGCTTTGTAGACGCTTGGCGTCATTGTCTACTTCTGTTAAGACACTTACC